AAAACACATGAAACATAGTGATAGACTGTAAATACTAAATAGCCGTTAAATATAATTTTTAACAACCGTTGTTATTTTTTTAATAAATTATTTACTCTTTTTATTTTTGATTTTTTTTATATATTATTATTATTATTATTATTATTATTAATATTACAGCCCGCATAGCCCGTTTAGCCCGAAGCCCGCTAGGGTTAGGGTTAGGTCCCTTTTTTGGTAGCCCGTTTAAATTCGGGCTTTTTTGGCCCGAACCGTTTAACCCGAAGCCCACTAGGGCTAGCCCGAAACCGCTAGGGCTAGCTCGTTTAACATCGCTAACTAGCACGTACCCCGTGCGATGCACGAGACAGAGATAATAAATGAGTTCTTTTCACATATTTGTCCATTTTTTCACATCTCTTAATCAACGTTGGTTTGGTCAGAACATTAAATATGTGCATGTTATGTCTAACTTATAAAATAATTTATATATTATCTCACTAACACATTTATACTGATATAAATTTGATTTTAGTATATATATATATTCAATGATAGAAGAGAAAATAACGATTTTACTTTTTTCTTGTTCACCATATGATAACTAATTATTATTTAATTATAAATTTTGTTGTCATATAATGTTATTATAAAAGTTATACAAGTTGTACGTCTTCTTTTTATTTTTATTTTATGTAATGAAAAATATTTAGTTCACGTTAGTATTTTTTATTTATATAATCAATTTAAAATATGTAAATAAATTTAAAATTAAATAGTGTATTAATATTTTACAAAATATACACATGTTTTTTCAGAATTTAATTTTGTATACTGACCAAATATATAACTTTGATTTACCAAATGCCAAAAACTCAATTCCCTCTATAATCAAAATTTTTTTAATTTACATTATAAGGATTTATAGATTATTTAGCAAACTCTGCAATTAAAATATATTTTACAAGAATTTCATCATAGAAAGAAATCAAAAAAATAATCATGGTTGTCAATAATATACAAATAAATCTTAAAGAACATTATATTTCAATTTTATTTTTTGACCATTAGTAAAACTATTTAATGTATCTGGTCATTATCTCTTAAACGATGAATTATATTAATTGAAATTTTAGTTTACTTTTTGTATATAAGATATAATCTTGAGAAAAAGTATATTGACAAAGAAAATTTACTAACTTGATTTCGCCTGATTAATTGGAAGAAAAAATTCTACATAACTTGTTAAGATTTTCTATAAATGTTTTTGGATAAAAATTGAATATTTGTGAAAAAAAATTAATATTATGGTTAGAACTTAAAATATGTTATAATATTTATCTTGACCAAAATATTGTCAACATGTCTCACAAAAAATCAATATTATGTTATTATAATGGATTTCAATGAAATTATAGCAGATATTAATAAAATTATTTAAGAAAATAATTTTGATTATATCGGATCTGTTCTTATTTTAAAACGTGTATATAAAAGCAATTTAATGTATACATTCAAAAAGTTTCCAAAAGAAGGTATGCATTAATTGCTTTAAAAAATTTTACTACTATTTTCAGTAAATGATTATTCTTATTATAGATATTGATTTGATAATATCCATTAATTAACCTAATTTTTTTGGTCTCTACGGATACTCGGTTTTTTAAAATTTGAATGTCTTGTTCTATTCATTATTTAAAAACAATTAATATTTATTTTAATAAAAAGATCTTTTTAAATTTAGATACTTCTGTAACTTATCTATTAAAAATAGTTATTTTTTTTTTCAAATTACTTGATTGTGGTAAATTAATCATTTTAGATTTTTGCATTGATAAAACATTGGAAGCAGATAATCTAAAATCTCCTCAAAGCACCCTTCGAAAAAAAAA